ATGGCTGGGAGCGCCGGGTACTCGGCTGAGAAGATGGGCCACCTTGAGCTCCGCGCCATGAAGGGCTATCCCCTGAGCCACGAGGTCTGCCGCCTGATGATGGAGCAATTCCGTGAGTTCGACTGCAAGGGCGACGCCACCTGGCCCGTGAGACAGCTGAGGGACTTGGCAACCTACTGGGTGAGGTGCTCCCCGCTCTTTGTCGTGCCGCATTTTTTTTTAAAAAAAGAAACAAAATGAGGTGCACGATGACCGCGCACTCGGGCATGCTGAGCGGCCAGTATCGCACCCACACGAACACTCTCGTTGAGCCCCCCATGAGCCAGGAGTTCGTGTATGAGAGGGTCCAAGCCGCGGCCGGGGTGCCCATGTGGGAGGCCCTGAGGCGCCATTTGTGGCCGAGCGCGCGGAATCCCAAGATGGGGAATAATGCCGTGATGATCCTGGAGTACTTGACAATCGCTGAGGAGGCGGAGCACGTCTGCTACAAGCTCGCGGCCCCGGCAACTGAGCAGCTCCTGCGCTTCAACACTGATGAGCTCAACACCGCTGAGCCCCCGCACCAGCAGCTGATTGGTGAGGTCTTCTGGCTCGGCCCTGAGCTCCATGCACTCGTTGAGCCCATTCAGAGCGCCATCCAGATGAGGATTGCGGCGAGGCACCGTGAGCTCCGGGCTGAGCTCTACCCGGGCGAGGGCGCGCAGGCTGAGGGCACCCAGACGCAGGCTGACGACATGGACGTTGGCACGCCGCGCTGAGGCTCTGAGGCGCTCCGAGGCCCCTCTTCTGCGGCCCCCCCTGAGGCGCTCTGAGCCTCTGAGGCGGTTTGAGGCCAATCCTGTTTTTTTTGAGGCCCACCCGTGAGCTTCGCGCCACTCTGGGCCGCTGAGCGCTGCGCGCTGAGCGATGACACATGCCCCTTGAGGCCCCTCGGCGGCTTGAGCAAACATCACAGCTCCTCTGGGGCCCCATCGGCGCCGCTTCCGAGGGAGGGGGGGGGGGGGGGGGGGCCTTCTGAGGGAGGAGCTTTTGAGGGAGGAGCTTTTGAGGGAGGAGCTTCTGAGGGGGGAGCTTCGGAGGGAGGAGCTCCTCAGGGAGAAGCTTCGGAGGGGGGATCTTCTGAGGGAGGAGCTTCGGAGGGATGAGCTTTTGAGGGGGGGGGGCTTCTGAAGGGGGAGCCCCCGAGGGGGGAGCTTCTCAGGGAGGAGCTTCGGAGGGGGGAGCTTCGGGGGGGGGGGGCTCCTGAGGGAGGAGCTCGCGGGGGAGAAGCTCCGAGGGGGGAGCTGCTGAGGGCGGAGCATCTCAGGTTGTCCTTAGGTTTTCCTTTGGTTGTCCTTAGGTTTTCCTTGGGTTGTCCTTAGGTTTTCCTTAGGTTGTCCTTAGGCTTTTCCTTCGGTTTTCTTTAGGTTGTCCTTAGGTTATCCTTAGGTTTGTCCTGGGGTTGTCTTTGAGTTTTCCTTAGGTTTCCCATTGGTTTTCCTTCGGTTGTCCTTAGGTTTTCCTTGGGTGTTCCTTAGGTGTTCCTTAGGTTTTCCTTGGGTGTTCCTTAGGTTTTCCTTAGGTTGTCCTTGGGTGTTCCTTGGGGTTTCCTTAGGTGTTCCTTAGGTTTACAATAGGTTTTCCTTAGGTTGTCCTTAGGTTGCCCTTGGGCGTTCCCTGGGTTTTCCTTAGGTGTTCCTTAGGTTTACAATAGGATGTCCTTAGGTTTTCCTTAGGTTGTCCTTAGGTGTTCCTTGGGTTTTCCTTCGGTTTTCTTTTGGTTTTCCTTGGGTTGTCCTTAGGTTTTCCTTAAGTGATCCTTAGGTTGTCCTTCGGTTGTCCTTAGGTTGTCTTTCGGTTTTCCTAAGTTGTCCTTACGTTCTCCTGAGGCAGTCGCACATTTCCTTAGGATGGATGAATCGAGGATGAAGTTTTTCATTGTCCTCGCGGGTCCCCCCCCTCCCCGCGGGGCCCGAGTTCCACGCGGAAAATGATATTTGCCATTATTGTTGGGGCCCCAGTCCGTCAATAAGCCCGCGGGACAACCATATATTTGCGCACAATTGGGGGGGGGTCAAAAGACCCTGTGGGGTTACGTGCCTGACGGGGGGACTAGCGCGTTGGCATCGTACCGATTTGAAGCGCGACTGCGGCAAGCGCTGACATTGGCTGCGCACGCCATGGAAGACCCGTCGCGCAGGCCCCAGTTCGCTGGGCTGCAGCCGTTGCTGGAGCGGCTGAGGGGGCGCGTCGAGCAAGTCATCGCTGCTCCTCCGACAGCGGCCCTGCGGGCGGGGGCAGGCCCCGCCGGTGGCGGAGAGATCGGGCTGTCTCTGGAGAATTTCGAGACCCTGTTGCAGGAGTCCTTCCCCCCCTGCATGCGTCACTTGGTGATGCACCAGCGCGCTGGCAGGCGGCTGCGCTTCCTCGGCCGCCTACAGCTGCGGCCATTCTTGTGGAAGGCAGGCCTGGCGCCCCCGGGCGGGCTGCAGTGGTGGGAGACGGAACTTCGGCGCGATTTGGAGGTCACTCATGAGATATTCGACCGGAAGCATCGATGCCAAGTGCTGCGCGCGTATGGCGCTCGCGGCCACGGGGTCGAAGCGCACCCGTTTGGGCGCGCTCGCATCCAAGATTTCCCGGCGCCCCGGGCTGGGCAGCTGCGCGGATGCCCTTTTTCAGCGAGGGCACGCGGGCCAGTACGCCTTGGGTGAATTATTGGGCCATTGGGGCCTTGCTGCGCAGGATGCCCGGGCGGTCGCACACGCGGCGCAGGCAGGTTCCATTTCTGACGCTTGCGCTGTTTTTTTCCGAGCAACTCACCCGTGGGACGCGGCCACGGCGCGGGGCCAGATCCGGCATCCGAATGAATTCGCCCGCCAAAGTAGGTTGGCTGTGACGGCTGCCGCACGGGGTTCACGCATGCTGCAAGATGGCGCGAGTGGGGGAGTGACGCAATGACCATCTCGATCCCCTGCTCCCCGTCTTCCTCGCCGTCCACGCCCTGCGCCCAATCGAGATTATCCCGGCAAAGCAACCTAACAGCGATGTGTAGGAGCATATCTGGAAGCATTCCCCTTAAGATTCATATGAGAATCCAGTTGTGGAATTCTGCTGTTCTCGCAGTCGCAGTCGCATTCGCAATGACAGTCGCAGTGGCAACGGCAGTCGCAGTCACAACCTCAGCCTCAGCCTGCCTCAGCCTCAGCCTCAGCCTGCCTCAGCCTCACCCTCAGCCTGCTTCAGCCTCAGCCTCAGCCTGCCTTCAGCCTCAGCCTCAGCCTCAGCCTGCCTCAGCCTCAGCCTGCATCAGCCTCAGCCTCAGCCTGCCTCAGCCTCAGCATGCCTCAGCCTCAGCCTCAGCATGCCTCAGCCTCAGCTTGCTTCAGCCTCAGCCTCAGTCCGCCTTCAGCCTCAGCCTCAGCCTGCTTCAGCCTCAGCCTCAGTCAGCCTTCAGCCTCGGCCTCAGCCTCAGCCTCAGCCTCAGCCTCAGCCTGCATCAGCCTCAGCCTCAGCCTCAGCCTGCCTCAGCCTCAGCCTGCCTCAGCCTCAGCCTGCCTCTGCCTCAGCCTCAGCCTTCAGCCTCAGCCTCAGTCTGCCTTCAGCCTCGGCCTCAGCCTCAGCCTGCCTCAGCCTCAGCCTGCATCAGCCTCAGCCTCAGCCTCAGCCTGCCTCAGCATCAGCCTGCCTCAGCCTCAGCCTCAGCCTGCCTCAGCCTCAGCCTCAGCCTGCTTCAGCCTCAGCCTCAGTCTGCCTTCAGCTTCGGCCTCAGCCTCAGCATGCCTCAGCCTCAGCCTGCATCAGCCTGAGCCTCAGCCTCAGCCTGCCGGAGCATCAGCCTGCAGCCTCAGCCTCAGCCTCAGCCTGCTTCAGCCTCAGCTTCAGTCTGCCTTCAGCCTCGGCCTCAGCCTCAGCCTGCCTCAGCCTCAGCCTGCCTCAGCCTCAGCCTCAGCCTGCCTCAGCATTCAAAATGTGGCCCGGGAATGGAATTCTGGGAACTCGAAGAACACGAAGTGGCCTGCAGTTGGCTCCGGGCATTCAAAATCATGCCCAGGAATGAAGTTCTGGGAACTCGAAGACCACGAAGTGGCCTACAGTTGGCTCCGGGCATTCAAAACCATGCCCAGGAATGGAGTTCTGGGAACTCGAAGACCACGAAGTGGCCTACAGTTGGCTCCGGGCATTCAAAATCATGCCCGGGAATGGACTTCCGGGAACTCGAAGAACACGAAGTGGCTTACACTTGGCTCCAGGCATTCAAAATCATGCCCAGGAATGGAGTTCTGGGAATTCGAAGACCACGAAGTGCGTTACTGTTGGCTAAAAAAGGAGTCCCCGGTTTTCCGGGGCAACCCGTCCGGATCCCGCCCAGACCCCCTTGGGGAGTCATGATGCTCTCTTTTGACCCTATTTGAAACCTATCAGCCTTCGCTGTTAGGTAACAATTGCGGTATTCACACCTGCATATGGTTGGGTCCTTCGTCAGGCTAATTTTTGGACAGGGATGATGGGGGGGAGGCCGCATCGGGTTCGCCGCGCATGGTCCGAATTGTGTTTGTATTGTTTTTACAAGGGATGGTGGTGGGGTGCCCGCAAGGACCTGGGTTGGCTCCCAGTCGCCTGGGGGAGGGGGTGTATATTAATAGGGAGCAGTGATAAACCCTTCCCCGAAGGGGAAGAAGGATGGGTGGAAGAGGAAACTTCCTAAACCACCCACGCCCACAGGGCTGGTGGAAATCCATGTCGAGCTGTCCGGAAAAATCAAAGGTGCTGTCAGGATTTGTGCTGCCGAGCCTAATCCCAAAGCTTCGCGTAACGTTCTCGTCCGTTGAAGACACCCTGACCGCATTATGATTATATGGTTGCTGGTTACTGTGATTTTTGATCGGATGCCTCGCGTTGTGAAGATGGCAAGTCGGGAGTGTAATTATTTGAGATTGTCGCAGAGTTTTCAGATTTGTTTAAGTCGCGTGCTCCAGTCTCTCCAGGGCAGGGGTCTGTCACCGCCAGGCCTGGACCAAAGAGGCAGCGTGCAAAACTTGGTAGATCACCTCATAGACTTTGGCGCATATCACACTCTCGGAGCACCTGCTGAAGCTCCGGCCATCGGAAGGCTTGCACATCCTTTGGCCATTCCCACTGGATTTGACCATGGTCGGTGGCTCGGTCCATCGCCAACATGAGACTCTTGTTCTGTTAGACCTGTTCCCAGACCTACGGCTTGTTCTGATTTATGTTTTGGTTCCCTGACCATGGCCCTCAAGATATGGAAAACCATCGTTGTATAGACAGCACCTGATCTCGCTGGACGTTGGCTTTTTGTAACCCTGCAGTGGTGGATTAATCAAAACATCACCCCCCTCAACGGAGACTCCAGTGGGTAACTCCCCGAGGTTGGGCGTCGCCGTTTCCCGTTTTCTCTGGGATTGCACTAAGTCTTCGCAGGATCTTTCGTCGCCGTTTTTTTTCTGGGGTTCCTCGGCGTTCTTTGAGGCGCGTGATGCGGACCGTGGCTTGCTCGCGGGCCTCCTTGGGGAGCGTGGCCTCATGGGGGGCGCCACCGACGGCCCCAGTGTCAGGTTTCATGTCCCCTGGCAAATTTGGGCACACGCACACACACAAACACACATACACACACCACACGGCTCGTGGCCTCATAGGGAGCTCCACCGAAAGCCTCAATAACAGGGCTCACATGCGTCCCAAGTCCAGTTATGGCACACCTCTCACACGGTGCTAGGCTTCATAGGGAGATTCAGGGAGTTTCACAGAAGGTTTTTGTGGCGTGTCGTCGTCGTCGATGTTTCGTCCGAAGAAGTTTACTGCAGATTTGCATTATTATCGCCGTTTTTTTGTTGGGGTGGGTTTGTGTGGGGCGAGTCACGTCGCCGCTTTTCGGTGACACTCGGTAAGTGTGCAGAAACTAAATTGTCTTCGCTGGTCTCTCTGAGCGGATGGATTGGAATACCCCAGTGCGACCCTACCTAGAAGTTGGAGCCCCTAGGAAAGCAGCATTAGTTGCTATGCTATGCTATACCATGCTATGCTGCGCTATGATATGCTATGATATGCTATGCTATGCTGCGCTACGCTATGATATGATATGATATGCTAAGATATGCTATGACATGCTGCGTTGTGCTATGATATGATATGATTTGCTATGCTATGCGATGCTAAGCTGCGCTAAGCTGCGCTATGCTATGCTATGCTATGCTATGATATACCATGCCGCGCTATGCTATGCTATGCTATGATTGGCTATGTTATGCTGTGCTATGCTATGCTAATGCAGCGCTGCGCTATGCTAAGCTAAGCTAAGCCGAGCTAAGCTAAGCTAACCCTCTAGGCAGAGCCTAGGTCGGGAATTACACCCATGTTAATGCTATGCTATGCTGGGCTATGCTATGATACGCTGTGCTGCGCGATGCTATGCTACGCTATGCTATGCTGTGCTCTGATATGCTGAAGCTCAGCGACGCTAAGATGAAGGTAAGCTAAGCTAGGATAAGCTGAGCTAAGATGAAGCTAAGCTAAGCTAAGATGAAATAAGCTAAGATAAGATGAGATAAGCGACGCTAAGCTAAGGGGACGTAACTGGGGGAACCGCGGGGCGGATCCCGGGGGAGCCGCCCGGGGCGTTTTCCACTGCCCGGCCCCTTTAAGCTACAGAGTAAGAACCCTTCTAGGCAGAGCCTAGGTAGGGAATCAAGCAAAAGCAAAAATGAAGGTAAGCTAAGCTAAGATAAACCTGAGCTAAGATGAAGCTAAGCTAAGCTAAGATGAAATAAGCTAAGCTAAGATGAGATAAGCAACGCTAAGCTAAGGGAACGTCACTGGGGGAACCGCGGGGCGGATCCTGGGGGAACCGCCCGGGGCGCTTTACATTGCCCGGCCCTTCAAGAGAACACGGTAAGAACCCTCTAGACAGAGCCTAGGTAGGGAATAAGAATATAGGGGAGTGATACCAAAACCATTTCACCCACTAATTCGTACTGCACCGTCCGCTGCACACTCCTGCATATGAGCTGTGAGAGGCCTGACGCATGTGAGCAGCACACCTCCATCATATTCACTCTAGCAGCCCCCATGGGGAACGTCCATGTTGGCGTCACGCTCTTCTCCAGGCACCCCACCAGCCAGGTAGCCTGTGAGCTGGTGAGGCCCTTAAGCGGACCTTTTCGTCTGGCCCAGGGGTGCTGGCTTCGATCCGCTGCTCGCTTTGGGGACCTGGCCCTCGACCTTCTGGCTCTCGACCTTTGGACCTGGCTCGTCAGCGCGTGCATCTGAGCCTTCATGTCCCCCAGCAGTTCGATGATCGTGTCCTGCTCCGTCGTCGTGGCCATGGTTGAGTTCGCCTCCTCTGGAGCCGACCGCTTGCACTTCGGCAACTTCTACTCTTCCTTGACCATGGAACAACCATCCTGTCCCTCGTACTTGCTTGGGACATTTGGCAGCTTCATCTCGCGATTCATCATGTCCTCGGGTTTGACTCTGCTCCGCTTCAGCGAGTCCGTGAGATGACCGAACCTGTAGTTGTCCAGGCCCACTTACCAGCCCGCATACTCGCGCTCCGTTGTGAGCAGGTCCTGGAAGGTCTTGCTTCGATGGCGGCCGAACGGCATCATATCCGTCCCCTTGGCCATCACAAGGTGCTGCTCGCACTTCTCCGTGATCATGAGCTGCAGGTCGCCCCTGGCCTCCTTGTCGTCCAGAATGCATCCCATGGCCAGTGCGTCGGACACCAGGTCGGCGTGCTTCTTGTGGCGGACTGGGACACCTCCGAGCGGCATCGCCGTGAAGATCGCGAAGCCTGGCCATCAGCATCTCCACCGTCATGAAGGACCCGTCCTCGTCCCACATGCATGGCTCCGCCAGGAAGTCGCCCTTGCGCATGTTGGAGCTGGCGGGGTGAAGGGCCATCTCGCGCTGCCTCTGGACTCGGAGGCACGTGCACAGGATC